CACAAAGTTTCACATGTAAAAATTAAAAAGAAGCACAACTCAAATGAACACAGTCTTTAAAAGGAGAGTATTTTACATATCTTTTAAAAACGTCTAGAACAGGACTTCCGCCAAGATGAAGGCGCAGGTGGAAACACTTTGCGTCCTTGCACAACCAAATCTAAAAACAATAAAGTTTTAACAACAATAAACGTAATCATACCTCACAGAAAATCGACAATACGGAGACCGAAAACACCAAGCCACTCAGCTAAACCAGTGAGAGGGGCGAAGCCAGCAGCGGAGCGGGTCCGGCAAAAAAGAGCCCAGACCCAGGGGGTGCACAGGCAGCCGAAGGCGCAGATCCCAGGTGCGGGCCAGCAATGGGCGGAACCCAGGGAAGAGGCGCGGCTGGCTGTCTGCAGTCGGTCGTGCATTCTCACACAGATAAACTAGTGAAGAGGCGAGCACTGAGACCAAACGGCCCAGGGCAGTGGGCTTGCACTTTTGCGCTCAGATAAACAGGTGGGGGCGAGCGGTGAGGCACACTGGGCGAGTGGAGAGGACCGCCATTGCTCTCTCTCTGACCCCGCCCCCACATAGAGCGTCACAGACCAGGGACCTGGGTGGCCCCGCCCTGCTAAACAACTATGGCTCCGCTCCTCATACCTAACAGGCACAAACAGATAAAAACACGGCTCAAGAACAACTCAGAGCCCCAGAGCCAATAAATCTAAGCGATGAAGAAATAGCCAAACTTTCAGATGCACAGTTCAAAACACTGGTGATCAGGATGCTCACAGAACTGGTTGATTTTAGTCACAAAGTAGACAAACATATGAAGGCTAAACTAATTGAAACAAATGGTAATGCACAGGAAACCAATAGTAATGGAAAGGAAACTGGGACTCAAATCAAGGGAGTAGACCAGAAGGAAGAAAAAAATGACCAAAAAGAAAAATATGAAGAAACAAGAATTCAAAAAAATGAGGAGAGGCTTAGGAACCTCCAGGACATCTTTAAACGCTCTAACCTTCGAATTATAGGGGTACCAGAAGAAGAAGAGGAACAGTCACGCATGGAAACCTTATTTGAACAAATAATAAGAGAACTTCCCCAATCTGGCAAAGGAAATAGACTTCCAGGAAATCCAGGAAGCTCAGAAAGTCCCAAAGAAGTTGGACCCAAGAAGAAACACACCAAGGCACATCATCATTACATTAGCCAAGATTCAAATGAAGGAGAGAATCCTAGAAGCAGCAAGAGATAAGGGGACAGTCACCTACAAAGGAGTTCCCATTAGACTGTCAGCTGATTTCTCAAAAGAGACCTTACAGGCAAGAAGGGGCTGGAAAGAAGTATTCCAAGTCATGAAATCCAAAGACCTACAACCAAGATTGCTCTATCCAGCAAAACTTTCATTTACAATAAAAGGACAGATAAAGTGCTTCTCAGATAAGATCAAATTCAAGGAGTTCATCATCACCAAGCCCTTATTATATGAAATGTTAAAGGGACTTACCTAAGAAAAAGAAGATAAAAAAGATGAAGAGTGAAAGGACAGCAAACTCACAATGATCAACAACCACACCTAAAACAAAAGCAAATTAAGAGGACGGCTAGATCAGGAGTGAACCATAGAAATGAAGATTATGTGGAGGGTTAGCAACAGGGGAGTGGGAGGAGGAGAAGGGGGGAGAAGGTACAGAAAATAAGTAGCATAGACAGTAGGTAGAAAATAGATGGGGGGAGGGCAAGAATAGCATGGGAAATATAGAATCTAAAGAACTTGAGACACGTGGTCATAAACTAAAGGGGGGAATGGTGGAGGATGGGGTGTGCAGGGTGGAGGGGAATGAAGGGGGGAATAGAACTGTAATGGCATGATCAATAAAAAACCAATTAAAAAATTTTAAAGTCTAGAACAAATAAATACACCACTTCCTGAAATGTCTGGGATGCAGTGAGGGGTTGTAGTTCAGATAAAATTTAGATTCTTCTGAGTTTATATGAAAGAAGAATAAAGACAGTATTCTTTCTGTTCAGAGGCTCATAGTCTAAACTTTTCATTTTGAAATAACTCCAAATCTTTCCAAAAAGTTGCAAACAAGCACAAAAACTGCTCTACGTAACCCTTTGGGCAGACTTTTCAAATTTTAGCACAGACCCACCCCCCCCCCCCCCCTCTCTACACTGAGTTGCAGTTCTGGCTTCTGCGTCAGTCCAGGTTTTAGAGGGTTTGTGGTGTTCAGGCCCCCAGCAGCCCCCCACCCCGACTGACACCCTGGTAGGAATGGCAGTTCAGCTGAAGTTCATGCTGAAGTCCATGGTGTATCTGGCTTGGACGCCAAGTCCACGGGTGCACCTCTCAGAAGGCAGCCTGGGTTTTCCAACGCCACCTCGGAGGATTTCCCCGAAGCCGCACAGTCCGCCTGGCAGGTCCCAGTCATCTGAGGCTCCTCTTTCGGTCGCCCGGTTGGACTGCAGGGGGCGCAGCTGCACCACGGGGGGCACCAGCCCTGCTCCTGTGGCTGCGCCGGGCTCATGAGGAAGGAGGGTGTGCAGGGAAAAAGGAGCCCGGGGGTCTTAGTGTCCTCTTGGGATCAAAGCCGCTCTGACCAGGCGAGCACAGCTCTGAGGGAAGACCCCTGACCCTCCCCCCAAACACAATCCCTTCCCCTCAGCACTGGCCTGAAGCTCAGGCCACCAGGGACTCCCAGCGCCCGGTGTGGAGAGACAGGAGCCGTAGATGGTGACAGGCCTGCCTGGGCAGTGCAGGGACCGGGCGGGGCTTCAGCTCACAGGCAAACGTACAGCACAGCGAGTGCAGCGAACAGGAGGGGCTTCTGCTCCGGGATGGGGATTCAGGGCCTCTGCCAACCAGCAGTCTCCTTGGCACGGGGGGCCTCAGGGTCCTGGTCCGCAAAGGCCCTGGGGAACTGGGAGGTGGCCAGCCCCTCTCAGTCCGTGGAGGGAATGGCGGCTAGTGGGAGATTGGGGGTAGGGGTGCATGCAATTGTGAGGGCAGGGGTGCGGCCCTGGAGCCGGACGGGGGTGGGGGCTGAGGGGGGTAGGCCCCAGGACCTGGGCGTGGGGGCAGGAGCGAGGACCCAGCGCTCCCGTGTGCTGGGGCGGGCAGCCTGGCCCACCGCGCAGATGTCGGTGTGAACCGACTGGCTCGGTCTCTGGGAGCCCCCATTCCCCTGCTCAAGCTTCAGCTCCGACGAACCCAAGTGGCCCCTATCAGCTGGGCCCCGCAAGCCCACGCCACATAATCACTCGGATTCCCATCTGGAATGATCCAGGAGGCGTGACCACCGAGACAGACAGGGCAGCCGCGTTGGGTCAATTCCACGCAGTTCCCGCCGTGCGTGAGACCACACCCTGCGCCTTGTCAGGCCCCAGCAACTCGGCTGCTGCCACGCATTTACGTGACAACTGCCACGTGTCAGCGATCACCTGTGCAGGGCGCAGGGGCTGTCCCGCTCTGACGCTGTCCCTGGAAGTCACTGCCCTGTGAGGAGTCCCATCAGAGGCTCCGGAGTTGCCTGCTGAGGGTTTGGCCTCGAGACCCCTCTACAGTTTGGGTTGCTGTGCCTTTGGGGCACTCAAACCGCCCCCAGGGGTGCCTCGGGCTTGTCCTCCATACCTGGGGCCCTGCTCTCACCTGTCCTCCATCTCCCCATCCGCCAGGGTGTCCCATGGGTGACCCGGCCCAGCCCACAGCCCCAAGCCAGCCCTCACCTGTGCAGCCCATCCCCAGGCCAGGCGCCAGACCATCACGGGCGCCTCCGGCCCCCTCGTGGGCCCGCACTGCCTCCAGCCCCACAGCCCACTGTCCCCTCCCAGTGTCTTTGCTTCCCACCGCCCTGGGTGGGCAGACCCACCCCTGCCACCTGCCCCAGGCCCTCCAGACTCCTCACCCACCCCCTCAGGGCCAGCTGGTCCTGCTGAGGACCCGGACCTGAGCCTGTGACTGCTGCTTCCTCTGTGCTGGGTCTGGGACGCAGGGGCTGTCCCCGTGCTCTGCTGCCGGTGGCCCAGCTTGATGGTTTTGTCCAGATGTGACCAGGACCCGGGTGTGGGTGGCACATGAGCACAGAGGTCTGCTGAGGGCTGGGACGGGGCACGGGGGACGTGGTCTGGGCGCGGTGGGCGGAGCAGGAAGGGGTGCGGTCAGACAAGAAGTTTATTGTCTCTGGAAGGAGTGACGGTTGTGGTCCCACTCACAGTGTGACCGCCTGAGGCTCCTTGGACACAGGCAGCCGGGACCAGGGAGAGGTTGGCCGAGGAGCCAGAGTCAGGGCTGGAGCCCCCGTCCGCCCTTGCCCAGGCTCGTCCTGCCCCTCACGGGGCCTGGGACGGCCTGTTCAGGACCAGAAACCTTGTACAGGGAGGGGGCTGCCGCCTCCAACTCCGAAAGGTTCATTCCCCATCAGGGACCGGGGCTGCTGGTTCTCCAGTCTGTGCGGCTGAGGCCCCTGTGGGGACAGGAGGTGCGCCCGGTCTGGGGGGGAAGGCGGTGGCACCCCCCACCCCAGGAGCCGGTGTCCCACCCAGGGTGGCAGAGAGGGAGGCAGGGCCCAGGCTGGGGTGGGCGCACAGGGGCACCTGCAGGCCGAGGGAGGGTGCTCACAGCAGGGCCCCCGAGAGGGCGAGGCCCAGCGGGAGCAGCAGCGCCCCCTGCAGGACCCGGGGCCGCCCCAGGCCTGGGGGCGCCCGGTTGCAGAGGCTGTGGTTGCAGCAGTGCCGAGCGATGCTGCCGAGAAACCCAGAAACCTGGGTTTCTGAGGGCCACTCGTGCACCGCGTTGGCGCTGGGGCACCGGGGGGCGCAGCGCTTGCTGAGAGAAACCTTCACCCCGGATTCTGCAGAAGAGAGAAGGCAGGTGGTCTCCGGGGTCCAGGAAGGAGGGCTCAGAGGACGGCCGGCTGCACAAGCCCTACCAGACAGCTCCTCCCACCTGTCACAGCCCACACCCTGCAGGGCCCAGGGGCAGGGCTGCCCAAGGTCACCTTCCGGTCACAGCAAAGTCAGGGTCCAGGTCTGACCCCAGGGGCAGCTCTGACCTGAAACACACTGGCCCGGCCGCCCTGGGCAGCCCAGGGCCTTTGAGGGAGAAGCAGAGCAGAGAGGACAGGGACGTCACCACAAAGGCCTGAGCGTGCTCAGCCCCTGGCTCCGCTCTCCCGGCTGCTCCTTTAAGGACACGGCAGAGACGTGGAAGGTCCTGCGGGAGGAGCAGAGCTGTGGGGGGAGGGCCGCCTGGGGAGGGAGCACCGCTGCCGGCCTCGCACAGCACCATGAGGCCGGTGCCGGTCAGGGTGAGCCACGCTGAGCCCCGCTGCCTGTGGCGTTATCGGTCCGTTGTAGGACGCCTCACCCTCTCAGGGGAGAGGTGGGCACCTCGTCCAGAGGGTCCCTGGGTCCCAACCTTGAGCAGCTGCCCGCCCCCACTCCCACCCTGCCCCAGGGCTCAGGGGGGACACCTCTTGGCAAAGGTGGCGGGCAGGCGAGGGGTCTGTGAGTGAGAACCCTCCCAATTCCCAGCCTCCCCGCTCCCAGGAGGCACCAGACACGGCCTCCAGTTGCCAGTTCAGGCCGAGAAGCTGTGACGTCACAACACTCGGGCCAGGTGGCTGGTAAAGAGAGCCAAACTGGGAGGAAAGGCACAAATACTCGGCCAAAGTGCTGCTGCCCCTGCAAGCCACCTGCTGGTCCCTTCTCTCAGTACTGAACAGGGACAGGCAATCACCGTGGGTCGGGACGCGTGGAACGGGACCAGGAGGAGGGTCTGGGTCTCGTGGGCGTACCAGTCTGCCTCGAACTTTAACAGAAAGGTGAAGGTGAAAGGAGGCAGGGGAGTGGCGGTGGCAGAGCCACCCTGTCCGCTGGTGCCCACACTTGTCACTGGGGCCTCCAGTTGTGGGTTCAGCCCCAGGAAGCCCAGTGATGGAGCGACGAGCGTTCTGGCACCGAGATCGGAAAGGCAGGCGCGGGAGGCCCCAGGTGCATTGTGGGGCACTGACCACAGAAGCCGGCCCGCGGCCCCCAGGACTCCAAGCCACAGAGGAGGTGTCTCTGCTGTAGCTGGCAGGTTCCCAGGGGCTGCTGCGCACCTGGTCCGCAGAACCAGCAGACTGAGTGTGGATTCTCAGAGACCAGGTGGTCTGTCCCCCTCCCGCTGTCTCCGGCTATTTGTGTCCTTCTGGTGGCCAGTGACATTTCAGTGGTCCTGGCACATGTCCGATCTGAGTTTATAATCTCCTGTAAGGCTTGTTTATGAAGTGGAGTCCTAGCGGGTGTGCGCACAGTCAGCCCTGCCAGCGGATGGCCAGGTGAGCAGCACCTGTGGCCGGCAGGTGGCAGGTCCTGGGTGCAGCGTCTGCTCCCACAGACAAGCCTCTGGCCTGTCTGCTCTCCGGGCAACTCAGGGACACCGCAGCCTCTGCCCAGCTGACAGAGCCTAGGGGAGGGACACTGAGTGACAGAAGTACTCCAAAGGGAGGAGAGGGAGGGTGGCCCAGATTCAGAGTCCGCCTGCAGGAGAGAGCTGCGCCCCCACACCACGCCCCGCAGAGAGCCCAAGAGCCCAGCGCTATCGGGGAGAGGCCGCGCTGCCCCCGCCACCCCCGGACTCACGTAGAAAGAAGCTCACGGCGTGAGAGACGCAGACGCGGTCCGAGGGGGAGCAGGCGGTGGGCGCGCACAGCGCCGCGCTGGCGACTTTGAAGCACCGGTAGCAGGTCAGGTTCCTGCCTGCGGGGCAGCCCGGAGCTTCGCTGGAGCAGGGCCGCGCCCGCCGGAGCTCGCGGTGCGGGGGCGGAGAGAGCCCCGACAGGAGCCGGGCCGCCAGCCCCGGAGCCCCAGAGGCCCCTCACCGCCACGGGCCCCCAGCCCGCCCCTTACCTGGCTGTGAGGTGCTGCCCACAAAGCCCTGCGGGGCAGCCCCGGGGCCGCGCCGGAGCAGGCCTGCGTCCCAGCCCACCAGGAGAGCCCACAGTGCTAGAAGCGTCCCCTCCATGGCGCGTGGGGCTGCGGGGGCATCACGAGAAGGAGGTTTCGTCCTGAGCACCCCCAGATCCCCCGGCTCCCCCGGCAGCGCCACCCCTCCCCTCTGTCCCTCAGTGGCCCTCCTCCCAGTCCCCTGACCCTCTGGCTGCCCCTCCCCCCAGAGCACCTGGTGTGGGGGCCCGTCCGCCCTTCCCCTGCAGCTCCCACCCTAGGGAGAGCCTCCTGGGGTCTCGGGGATGGCCGCCGCCGCCGCCGCCACCAGCCCGCTCCAGCTGGAGCAGCAGGCGGGGCCAGGCCTCTCCGCGGGGGACCCACAGCGTGGGCGCCAATGCATCCTTCTCTCCCTAGAGCAAACCTTCTGGAGGCAGGGCCCGGTTCTCTCCACGGGGACACGGGGACCAGATTGGGTCTCTGCCTCCGGCCCGTGGATGGCTGAGCAGAGAGGCCTCGGCAGGTGCAGCAGGAAGCAGCCTGGTGGTCTGGGGGTGGGGGGAGGTGGAAAGCTTGAAGGGCAGGGGGCGGGGGCAGGGGGTCATTGGAGCGAGAGAACAGGTGACATCTGGACAATCAGAGATGACACGAGGGCAGCCCAGGGGCAGAAACCTCACAAGCCAGACCTGGAGCAGGCACCCAGGGAAAGAAAGGCTGCAGGGCCCGGCGGGGCGGGGCGGGGGCTGCCGGGCTGGAGGAGCTGAAGGGGGGAGGGGTTCTGGTGGAGGAAATCCTGATTGTTTTCATTCTTTAGGAGTTCTGGGGGCCCCTTTCCTGTGGGAGGGGCGCTCTGGGAGGGGCCAGAGCTGGGGGAAGGCTCTGAGCTTAGGCCAGCCACGATCAGCAGCCTCCCAGAGAAGATGCCAGGGGGGCCCTGCAGAGGGGGGCCGCACCCCACTCCCCGCACCACCCACCACCCACGCACGCAGCTCCCCCTCACCTGCCAGGCCCCACCAACTCTCGCCTTTGTCCTGTCTTTTATTCTTGCTCCTCAGGAGCCTGTCCTCGCAGGGCCCATGTTAAAGAGTCAGTGACACTTGCTCACACAGAGGGGGCTCCTGCTGCCGTGGGTGGTGGTGGGGGGGCCCTGGGCGGCAGTCTGGCGGCTGGGGATGGGCAGCCAAGGGGTCAGCGAAGGAAACTCACTAAGAGGAGGCATGGGTGGGGCAGCTAAACGGACCTTCCAGGACCCTCGCTGAAGGCAGGTCAGATGTCCAGCTTCACCGGCGTGGGGGTGGGACTGTTGTGGGAAATGAAGCGACCAAACACCGAGGGATTTTGGAGTACGAGGTTTATTGTTAACGTGCATGGGCTCAGAGGAATCATTTCCAAATTCTGAGCAATGAACAAAGGATTCTTGGGGTTTTTATAGTCTACAGGGTCTTCTGTCTACGTGGCAAGGCGGGATACAGAAGCGGAATGCGGAGGTTAGCTCTAGCTAAGGGGTAGAAGCAGAGGACAAAGGCCAAACCTGAGGGTCAGTTTTAACAGCAGGGGTGTTAATCTCAGTCCTAGCTAATGCACTGTTGTTTACTTATCCTAGACAGCCCCATCATTCTCCCCAGGGCGCCTGGGGCCTGGGCAAATAAAGGTTAAACAGAGGTTTTTCAAAGTTTCCCATATCAGGACGAGGAGCCCATCAGATAGCCAGACTGGGAGCTTTCCCCCTGAAACTGGACTGTAGGAGGGAGGGCCCAGGAGAAGGTTCAGGAGCCTGACTAGAGTTTGGTCAAGCAGAGAATCTTTGTCCACGCACAGCCCTAAGCTGTTGACCCAGCCACAGCGTCGTCTCTGCCCCGAGGGCAGGGCAGGAGTGTGCTGGGACGTCTCCCCTGCGGTGCTGCCCCCTGGGGACGCGCCAGCTCTGAGGGCTGGACTGGAACCAGGTGCGGGCTGGAGACACTGCCCTCCCCTCTCACCCCTCCCGGGGCCCAGTCCTCCAGGGCCGGCCCCTCAGGGGCAGCTCCCGACGCCCAGGTGCCCTCATTCCGGTGTCAGGTGGCCACATGGCTCTTCTTTATTTTATTTTTAAATTTATTTATATTTATTTTTTGCAACAAAAGTACATTTTAAAGTAAGATGGCGCTCTGACCCAGTCTCCCTCACCCCAAATAAGCCACTGTCCCAGTCTCCTCCTCGTCTCCTTTCTGGAAAACCTCTCTCTCCCCCAGGGCTGGCAGCTGCCCCGGGACGGCCTTCCTGCCGCCCTCCTGCCGCCGGGCGTCCCTCGACTCACCCCCCATTGCCTCATCCCAGCGGCATCCCGGCCCTTCCCCTGACCCTCGACTCCCAGCGTCTGTCTCCAGTCCGGTCCTCTTCTCTGTCCTCCTCTCACGCCACCCCAGTCTCCTTTGGTTCCTGGGAGAGACCTGGTTCTGACGGGAGATTCAAGCGTTGGAAAGTTCTAGTATAAGGTGATAGTTGGTATGACTGGCAGTTAATGTGTGTGAAAAGCTACTGTTTCAGGAACTGCAGGGGCGGCCCCCCCGGACTCCAGGAGACCACAAGAGGTCCAGTGTCCGTGCCCTACCAGAGACCACAAGCAGTGAAGGTGGTGTCTGAGCCCTTGTGACCCGGGCACACACTGTCTGTATGTCCTTTGTTCTGAGGACTTACATGGTGGGGTGAGGGGTGAGGAGGTCACGTACTGACTGACAGGTAAAGGTGGTGCCACCTGGGTGGGGGCCGTGACTACCAAGGTGTTAACCAAGGGGCTTCTTCCTTTGGGCACTATGGACCCTCTCCTGCCTTCCAGGCCTGGGGATAAAAGCAGTTTCAAGGGCTTTCCTTCCCAGATAATGGGGATGATACACAGAGTTTCAAGGGCTCCGTCCCCAAGGCTAACCTCGTGTTTCTGGTGAGCCTGGAACACCTGTCGGCACGATGGGACCAGGCTCAGGACGGCGGAGTCAGTGGGTGAGACGGGTCTCCCTCCCCCGCCCTGCCTCGGTTCACTGTTCACTCTACCTTGGTGCTGGGAGGCGTTTCCTGGCAACCAGGATGCTAGCTGCTGGCCAGCAACAGCAGGCCAGTCTCGGAGCTCGTCCTGTGCTGTCTGCTGCCTCTCTCTGGGTCCCAGAATTCACGTTCTTTTTTTTCACCCCACTGGGGTGACACCGGTGGATGGGAGCGGAACACACCTTCCAGGAGCACACCTCTGCGCCGTGACGCCCTGTGCCTGCCGCGAGCTCGCCAACGTGCGTGTCATCCCCGGCGCGGGGTCTGCACCCCCGCACGGCTTTCCACGCCGGCTTCCCCACAGGCAGGGTCTGCGCCCCAGGTGGGCGGCCTCCAGCCAGTGCAGCATGTGGGGTCCCCTGGGAGAGGACGGGGAGCCCGTCACCGCCTGGCCCGATGGGCAGGGACAGGGACTGCTCTCCTCGGGCGCTTCCTTCAGATGCCGGCGACCTGGGCAGATGGCCCCGTGCTTCCGGTCAGGCCGGCCTTTCAACAACGGAGAACCAAGTGTGGTGTGGGATCTGAAACGCAGGGGGAGCCAGATGAGTGAGAAACCTGCAGCGCTCTCGCCCTGGGTGGTCGGTCAGCTGCGCCCGGCGGCAGCGGAGGGCCGCCTGCCTCCCTGGAACACCGGGCTGGGATGCGGTCGGCGTGGCTCCTGCGGTTTCTGGAACAATGGCTGTAACACATGCATTACCTACCAGGCTTGTTAACTATTTACCTTAAACAAAACTTGTCCAGCTCCTGAGTCCCCCAGCATTCTCCCGACACCGAGTCCACGTGACTGTGAGGCACGTTGGGGGCAGTGGCCAGGCAGCGAGACTGGGGAGGGCTCAGCGCAGAGGAAGCAGTGGGGAGCCCACGCCTCCTGCCTGTGAGGAAAGAAGTGGCGGAGAGGACAGGAGCGGGGCAGGCTGGGTGCTGTGTCCCGAGGCTTTCTCTCTCGCAGGCGGGAACCTCAGGGGTGGCCTCAGGGCTGGGCTTCGCAGGACATTCGTCAGCCCTCCAGGAGGGTCTTTTCAGGGCCGTGGTCTCCACGACTCACCAGTGGCCAGGCGAGCAAGTCCTCAGTCACTGCACTTGGCCCTGGTGACGCCCACCTGGTTTTGTGCTTTTCTGGGCCTGGAGCGGACACACGGCCGAGGCCCAGATGTTCTCTCCAGGGGGCACGGCTGGGGGAGGAGAGGTCACCCCCTGGGCGAGGTCTCTGCTCTCCCAGTCTTGCCCCGGCAGGCCTTCTGCCCTGGTGACCCTCCGCACCTGGCTGTCAACTGCTCTGCCGCTGGGCCCAGGGGTCTGTCTCCGGTCTATTCCATTTGCAGGGGAATTTTCCTAACTTCTCACTCTCCTGTCTCACCCCCCGCCCCCAGGGCCCAGGACCTCCCAGAGGGGCGCCCAGGGTGCTGCTCCTGCGCTCTGCCCCCGCCCCCGACAGCCTCCTCTCCTGCCGTGAGCCCGGCCTCGCCTGGCCCCTTTCCCGGGTCTCCTGGTGTCTCCTCGTGGGGCGGGGTGTGGGATGGTGCGTGTGTAGGCGGGGTGCACAGGAAGGCCAGGGAGGGATGAGGAGTGAACAAGATGGAGACCGACAGCCCCCTCGACTTCCTTGCCGCCGCCCCCCCCCCCCCCGCCATCCCCCCTGGGGCCTGTTTTCTTCACGCCTGAGTTCCAGGAAATCGAAACCAGAGCCCACACCCTCCTCCCCTATGAGTCAGCGTGAAAAACCTCCTCCCCAGACTCGGTGTCCTTTCCCCCCAATGCAGCCCCCCCAAGCCCTGACCTCTTCCCCAAGGGACCCCGGAGCCCCGTTTTCTCTGTTGGACAGGGGGGAGGTGGCAGCCTCACCCAAGTACCCAGGCAGATCTGAAGGGAGGTGTCTGCTTTTTGGCTGCAGCCCAAGGTCTTCGGCTGCGTGGATGTCCCAGAAACAGCAGGTTTCCTGGAGGAAAAGGAGGAGAGGGGACTGTACCCATGAGCACATGGGGCTGGAGGGTCCCTGGAGGGGCAGGGTGGGGCCGCCAGCTCAGGAGAGGGGGGCTCGTGCATCCTGGGCTTCCTAGGGGTGAAGGGGAACAGAAACTGCCCCCCCAAATGTGCCTCTTATTTCAGTCTGGTTATTTTTAACGGAGAGCAGATTCGGGAGAGGCCCCGAGTGCAGGTGCCCTTTGGTGAGAGGAGCGGGTTTGCAGGGGGTCTGCAGGGGTGAGGGGTCTCCTCTTCACAGGGCTTTTCCAGAAACACCCCCGTAACTGGCGGCCCCACACCCACGTCTTGGAGGGCCCGCAGCTGGAGGGGGTGTGGAAGGGGTGGCGTTTTCGGGGTTCTCCCCCGTGCACACAGGAGGCACCCGTATCACGGAGCTACTGCGGGTCTTCCTCCCACTGTTCTGCCCTTCGTCTGGGGTCTCAGCCAAGAACCTGGCGGGGCAGAGGGACCACACCCCTCCCGCCTCTGAGCCCTGTCTTGCCCCTGCTTGGGTTCTGGCCCGAGTGCTGCCAGTACCCCAAGTCCTGGGCCCTGGCCAGGCTCCACAATGTCCCTCCTGCGGTCACGGTCACAGGGACTGTCAGTGAGGGACCTGGAGCATGGTCGGTGTGGCACACTCATGGGCCAGCAGTGGGGGCTCTGCCCGGAAGGCCCTGCCTAGTGGAAGCTGGGCCTGGGGCACAGTCGGGGACCGGTGCGGCTGGTCTCCGACTCAGCCTGGTCCCACGACAGGTGGCTGCTCTTCCCTGGCTGCCTCAGTATCCATGCTGGCCCATGGACTTCCTGGAGGAGGGGTCCTGAGGCTGGGGGCAGGCAACAGAGAGGCTGGGGGAAGATGGGGAAGGGGCATGGTCCTGGGTGGCGGGGGAGGGGGAGCCCCGTCAGAAGGGGTGGGCTCTTTCTGTCTGGTATTACAGAGAGGATCCGAGAGACCCCCCCACTCCGCACAAAAGCAGGGCAGCGAGGCCAGAGACTGGGAAGCGGAGTGACCACTGTTCGAAGGACCCGCAGGGGTGGGGGTGGGGAGGGCGGGCTCCAGGCTGCGCGGCCAGCCTCCCCCACGCTGCCCCATTGCTATCTTCAAGGGGTGAGGGCAGGTGCCACCTGCACACGGGCCTCAGGGTTCCTGCCCACCTGATGCCGAGGGTGGGCGCCCAGGGCGCAGCGGCCACGCCGGCCCAATCAGCCTCCGTCCCGCCCCCTCCACCCCCACCTGGATCTGGAACCTCGGGCACTTCCCACTTCCTGCCAAGGTGTTTAGTGCCTTCCACCTGAAGACGTCAGAGCCACCTGTCTCGTTCTCGGTCATCTCTGGGGCTGTCCTTCCCAAGCCACCCTTGTGAGGTTACTTCCTAGGAAGGTCCCAGAAGACTCCCCGGGGTGGGGCTCCCAGGGCCTGCCAGTCCGCTCCTGCCCCAAGTCCCTGCAGCGTGGTCTCGGGCACTGCCCACCTCCAGGGAGCACGGCAGGTGCTAAGGACTGGGAGGCGGAGGTGCAGGGCCTGGCAGGGCTGTCTCTCCAGGTGTGGGTGCCACGGGGCCGTGGGAGGCTGGGCAGGACCACAGGACTGGCCTTCCTCCTGGAGGCGGGGCCGGGGAGCCACCCAGAGGGACAGGGGCTCTCTGGGCCTGCTGTGAGCCCCACCCCACTGGACATGCCTGTTCACCCCCAGAGACCCCCACCGTGGGTGGAGGCAGGGAAGTGGGGGCTGTCACCCAGGCACTGAGACCAGGGAGTCCAGACCCCTGACCAGTGTGCCCAGCTGGACAGCACTGTGCCTGGCCCCTCACTGCCACCTGGGCAGATGTCAGGGCGGGGCCCTGGACAAGCTTTCCTTTTCCTTCCCCTGCACTCTGCCTCCAGGGTCCCCACACCCCTCCCCTCCCTACCGCTCCTCCCACAGGCTGCTAACCCTAGGAAACCGAAACTCAGCCCTGGGTTCCTCCTCCCACCAACTCCGCTCCCTCCCTGCAGGGACCTGGCTGGCGCCCCTGGAGGTCGGGCTGCCTCCACCCTGCCCTGGAGGGACCTGGTGCTCGCCTAAAGCAGATGGAACCCTGGGCCTCAGGGTCACAGACCCAGCAGGGCAAGTGGCTGCAACCTCCGTGCCGTTTCCACTTAGCAACTTGGGGACAATTCTGTAGTTGTGGGAAGAAGGATGGATGACCCGGGAGTGTCCCTGGGACAGCAGCCGGTGCCCAGTGGAAGGAGCACAGAGTGTCGAGTGGCACAGGTGGCCTGCCCCAGGGCTCCCCCCAGCTGTGCGGGCTTCACCTGGCCTCAGTCCCTCCTGCAAAGTTGCCTGTGGTTTGAGTGGGCAGTGTGGCTCCCGAATTTTACGTGAGAACCCAGAACTCAGACGGCCGGCTCCTGTGACGACGTCACCTGTGTTCCAGGGGTCACCTGTGGCCCCTGAGTTCATCTGGTTTTAATACGGCTCCGTTCCACTGATTCAGGTTTTCACTGTCCGTGGTGCAAGCAGGCTGCTCCGAGGTTGGCTGGGCTTGTGTCCCTCCCCTTGTCTGCCCGCTGGGCGGGTGGCTGACCCCTGGGGCAGACCCTCCTCCTGACGGCCTCTCTGGGGGCTGTTTTTTGTCTCTCACTCCGGCTCCGTGGGCCTGCCGGCCCCCCTCTGTGGCCATGGCGATGAGGACACTGTTTTGGTTTCACGGTGACCACCCTGTGCAAAGGTCCTCCCTGGCTGCTGACCTCAGGGGCCCCAGGAGTCAGGCTGGAATCTTGAGCCTCCGTGGTGACAACTGTCCCACATCCCTGGATAGGGTTGCTTAGGCCCTGGACGTAGGCACACTGTCCGGCCCGCCTGGAAGGACCAGGACTGCGCCGCTGCCCAAAGCGCCCTGAGGAATGAAGGTTTGAACCCCTGCCCTCATCCACTCACCCTCCGTCTCCCACCCCCTGGCCGCGAACACACATCGTCCACAGCACACCCCACTGGCTGCTGCCCTGGGGCCTCCACCCTCAGGTCCCTGAAGACCACCACAGGTTTGCCAAGGGGGCATGGGCACACAGCAGGGATGGCTGGGGGCTTAGGAGCAGCACCCCGGCCCTCTAGCCAGGGTGAAGGCCTCCTCCAGGGAGCCCTCCGCCTGCCCCCACAGGCCCTTGTGAAAGGTCTCGTTCAGCGCGTGTGCCGAGCTCCCGCCTGGCCAGCCAGGCTCCTCCCTCCTCCTTGGCCTGACCGACCCCAGCGTCCTGGCCCCAAGGCCCGGGCGCCCTCGCGCTTTCCCCTGACCAGCCCCCTCCTCCCTGTGTAGGGTCCCGCCTCCCTCCCAGAGGCAGGTCGCCCCCCCTGCTTCCCTGCTCAGCCGGGAAGGCGGATGTGGAAGCCGTGAGGTGAGGTTCCCTTCTAGGCCTCACAGGCAGCTGTGGACTTGGGGTCCCCTCCCCCTACTGTCCCCAAGTGGGTCTCAGGGAAGAGCAGGACAGCAGGGGAGTCCCCAAGCACCTGGCTGGGATGGGGGTTCCCAGGCAGCCACAGCGGAGCAGGAAGGGGAGGGAACAGCTGTTTATTTGAGGCACAAAGCAGTAGGAGGGCCCTGGTGTGGGGGTAAAGGGTGGGGGGTCAGATGGGGCCACAGCTGGATTTGGGGTGGGAGCTGAGTCCTGGGCCCAGCAGCCTGGACCTGGAGGCTGCTGTGGAAGTGAGTGGGTGTGGGGTGCGGAGACGCCCCTGGTGCTGGAGCTTGGGGCTCTCCGGCCGCTTACTCCTGCCCCTCCCTCAGCGTGGCCAGCAAGACCACACAGACGTGCCTTCCACACGGACGGGTGGACCTGCAATCACAGCATGCGCCCCCTTCAGAGACACAGTGCCACGAAACACATCTTCCATGCCGCTGTCTGGGGTCGCACAGGGCCCAGAGTGGGACAGGCCCTGGGGCTTAGGTGTGCCTCAAAGTGGGTTCCGCAAGATCGGTTCTGACTCCTGGAGCTGTAGGCACCAGGGGACCCTCATCTGAGGAGGGTCACATCACCCACTCTGACTCTGGGGAGCCGGCCCCTCTGGGGACGGAGGCAGGTGCAGGGAACAGGCCCGGCGGTGGGAACTGAGGCCGTGGGGGCAGGGTCAGGCAGGGATGAGGGCAGCGGGGCTGGGTGCAGCTGGGCTTTCCTTCCTGAGCTGTGGGGGTCGGCCAGCACAGGGATCCTCAGTCAGGGTCCGAGCCGCAGGAGGGCCGCCAGCAGGCTGAGCAGGAGCCCAGCGCCGAGCACGGCGGCGCTGGCCCGCAGACCGCCGTCGGCCGCGCTGATGTTGCACAGGGAACTCTGGCAGCAGTAGGTGCCCATGGATGCCACCCCGAGGTTGACGTTGGGGGGTGCTGGGCAGACCGGGGAGCAGCCCTTGTTCAGGCTGTGGCCAAAGTCCACCATGTTCCCTGCACCAGGAAACAGGCTGTGAGTGGAGAGGCTGGGGCCGGGGGCCGGGGGCAGGGAAGGCCTGGCCAGCGCTCACCGATGCCCGCGGCGGCAGAGATAGTCACGCAGTAGTTGTCAGAGTCCGAGCAGACGGTGGGCTTCAGGCAGTAGAAGTTGCTTTTCTGGTTCACGCAAGAGAAGCACATGAGGGAGTCGGCTGCGGAAGGAGGGGACAGGCTGCAGGCTGCCCCGAGGGCAGGCGTTGGGGCAGGAGGGGGCAGGGGCAGCTGGCGGGGGGAGAGGGGCCTCTTGGGTGACACAGAACAGGTCCCTGGGAGACAGCCTGGAAGGACCCCTGGTAACAGCTCGGGAGGGTGGGTAGGGAATCTGCGCGGAGGGCGCAGCAGCCCGGGGGCCTCACCTTGCTCTGCCCCCAGAAGGACCACCAGCAGCAGCGGCAGGAAGACTTTCATCTTGTCTGGGGCAGGCTCCTGTCTGCGTCTCGCATGACCAGAACACCCCTGCTTCGGAGACACAGCTTGAGGGGGGTGGGACCCGGGCTCCCACTGGCACAAGGAGCCTGGGGGCCCCACAAGTCGGGCAAGAATGTGGGGTCGTCCTGCTCCCCCCTCCCCTCACTCGGTGCAGACCCTTCTAGCTGGGGCCCTCCCCAGCCTGTGGCTGGCTGAGCTTGGGGGGTGGGGGGGCACAGGCGCTTCTCTGGTAGTGGGTGGGTGGTGGGTGAGTCGTGGGGCTGCCCTGTGTCCTCTGACCCCTTGGGCAAAGGCCCGTGGCAGTGGGTAGGAAAGCACTTTCAGGTGGCTAGCTGGGGTTTCCATTCTGTTCTGTTCAGCAGGAGGCCGGGTGTGGGAGGAGGGGCCTCCCCAGTGCCATCTGCCGGGGCAGCTGTGGCGGGGGAGGTGGATTTTCAGGCCTCCGGAGGAAGAACACCAGAGAGAGAACGAACAGACTTGGCAGCCGCCTGGTGGGGACTGAGAGTGGCCCCCAGGCCCTGCTGCCCAGCTCGGGCCAGGGCTGAGGCCTCTCCAGAACAGTGCTGAGCCCAGCAGGCACCTGACCCTGAGGCCAGGCAGTTCAGGGAAAAAGCAGCGGGTTCCTGCCTCTTCTCTAAAGTGAGGTTTGGGCGTGGAGGAGCCCGGAGCTGTCCTCATAGAAGCTCCGGTATGCACAGCCACACGCTGTCACAGCCAGCGTTCCTGGCGTCCCCAGCCAGGCATCCGGCCAGGCAGGCTGAGCCGCCCAGAGTGGATCCACGGTGTCAGGCGAAGGGGCCGCCGCTGCGCTTCCGGCCACTGTCACCGGGACCGGACTCCCAACTCCTCCGCCAGGCTCGCAGGCATCGGGTGACTCCGGTGGGCAGGAGAGGCAGGAGCCTGTCCCGGTCCCCATGGATGAGGAGGGACCAGGTGGCCGGGCGCAGGGGTCCTGGGCACCCAGGCACCTCACATATTTGCGTGTCTGTGCCAAGCAGGGAGCAGCACCGCCGGCCGGGCGGGCTCCGGTCCCCGGGTGGCCGACCCCCTGAGGCAGTCCTCCCTGTCGCCGCCAAGACCCCAGCCCCTCCTCAGATCAGGAAAGCTCACCCCGCTTCCCCAGTGAGGGGCCCCGGGGAACCTAGATTTGGGTGATGCGTCCCTAGTGCCTGCGCAGCCCTGGACTGCCAGCCACGGAGGGCACCAGGCGGTGGTCTCCGCACGCTCCCGCCTCAGATCTTTGGAAAGATTCGGCAGGGCAGAGGGGCTGGGAGCGCAGACTCAGCCACAGGGGCTGCGCCCACCAGCTCCCCGACTCCCAGCCTGGCCCGGCCTCTTCTGCGCCTCGCCAGGCGGCCCCCTCGCTCGATCCCCTCCGCGCCCTACCGAGCATCTTCCTCGGCGCCCGGGCCTCCGTCCCGCGCCCCCGTCCCGCGCCCCCCGCATGCCCCGCCCGGGCCTGGCGACTCACCGCGCTGGACGCAGCTCCACCACCGGGCTGAGCAATCCAAGCCAGACTCGGAGGACTGCTGCGGCGCGGGCGGTTGGCTGGGCGGGCCGGAGGCGGAGCCAGGGCCGGCGCGGGCGGGGTCGGACATTCCAGTACTGGCGTTCGGGGCCGGGGGCGGAGAGGACCCACCTCCGGGCGCCTGCTCGCTGCCTCCCGGTCTCGGGCGGGGCGGAGGAGTGGGGGAGGGGCGCTCCCGCTGGAGCTGGAAGACCCACAAGTGGCTGACCCGCGAGGGCCAGAGCACCGCGCAGCGAGTGCGTCCAGGGCGGATGGCCGGGCAGTAGCTGAACTCCCTTATGCAGAGCCGGGCAGGGGCCGTGAGGGGACCGGCCCGGGCTCGTTATAGGAAAACGAAGCAACCAGACACGGAGGGATTCTGGAGTACGAGGTTTATTATTTACGCGCCCAGAGAAGTCTGTCTCCAAATTCTGAGCCCCGAACAAAGGATTCTTGGGGGGGTTATATAGCTTAGGGGGGTCTTCCTGTCCACGTGACAAAAGCGGGATACAGAAGCAGAATGTGATAATTGGTTCTATCAGCGGGGGTGCTAGTCCCAATCCTACTGACTATCCGGCTGTTTGCTTTTCCCAAATGGCCTTATCACTCTCCCAGAGCGCCTGGGGTTTTGGGTGAACAAAGGTTTTCCAAAGCTTCCTACATTAGGCTCATCTTGGGCTGAGCTGTTAGCTGTGGGGTGGGGTGGTGGTGACCAGACCCACAGCTGGAGGCTGGAGGGGCCTCTGGCTTCTGTGGCTTCTGGGCAGTGTTGTGGGCAGCCACCGCCACCAGCTGGACAAGCCTTTGCAGGCCCTGGAGGCCCCTTCCCGGAGCACGGAGCCACCTCCTACGAGGCCCCCACCCGGACCAGGACCCCTCTGCTCAGGATGGACCCCAGCCTTCTGCATACTCGCTGGAGCTGCCCAGTCTGCAGCTAAGGGTCTGCTCACAAAGCCAGCCTGCCCTGACCCTCCACATGGGTTGCAGAGGCCTGACCAGTGTCCAGGTGGCCACCCAGCGCCTTGTGCGTCAGTGCGCACTCACGACGCACCTGCTGTGCCCAGCCTGGCCTGGGTCTGACCAGCACCCCACAGGGCTTGCAGTCCAGCCAGACACATCTTAGCCGGCAACTGTTGCGGCCACATATCCTGATGTCCCCTGAGGGCCCTGTAGTTTGTCCTGCTGTGACCCTGTGGCCCCTCCTTTCCACACAGACCTTACTATCTGACGGTGGGCTCCGGCCTCAGGTGCCAGAAACCCCAGGAGTCCTAAAGGCCCGGGCCAGCGCCTGCAGAGCTGATGTGCCTCGTGATGGGCCGCTCAGACTCGCTGTGGCCTGCGCACCCCACACCCTGGGCACCCCCACCCCCCCACTACTGCCCTGCTGGGGAGGAAAGCCCTGTCGCTGTCCCCTGATGCTGGGGAGGCAGGGGAACTCACCAGGGGTGTGCTCTCTGGCCCCCTGGGCCGCATACACACACTTAGGAGTGTAAGTAGGAGGTCTGGTTGCCTGGGTCTCTGCTGAAACCATGCGGTGACGGTGGGCATTTGGGGTATGGCTGGCGCAAGAGCCACTGAACCGTCCTCTCAAGGTCCAGAGTTCTGTGGCCCTCTGAGGTGGAGAGTTTGGTGTTGAGGTTGGTACAGATCTGAAACTCTCTCTCCATCTCCCCCTGGGAGGGGCTGGGCAGTGGGAGGGCCAGAGTCCACCCCAATGCACCCAGAGTCTCTGGGGTCGCCCTCCACTGGGGGCCCTTCCGCTCCTGCAGTGAGGGGTGGGGCGGCTTTGTGGTCTGCACCCCCAGACGGGCTCTCTGGAGGGGATGGTGACATGCTCCCATCCGTCGGGGTGTTTTTTCCAGATCCACAGGCCACTTATGTAGATGAGGAGTCGACCTAGCAGGACGTTAAGCAGCTTGAGAGTGAAGACCTCCCTTGTACGATTCTCTCGATTAAGGGGCGATCTGGGAATGGCAGGTGGCCACCTGGAGGCCTGATCTGGAGGCTGGTGGATGGAGAAACGGCTCGGGGGCTCCCTTACCGCAGTTCCCCGGGGTGGGAGGGGCTATGCATGGGGAGACCGTGCAGCTCCTAGGCACCAGCCTGCATCCCCGCGTCTCGGCCAGGCAGTGGCCTACCAGGTCTCATCTGCCCCCACGTTCTCAGCACCCCCATCGTTTCCCCGAGGCCTCGCTGGGCAGCTCCCACCTTCTCGTCTGAGGGCGGGGCCTGCGTCCCGGTCCCCGGTGCTAGGTCCCTTCCCGCGGCCTTCGCGCGCCCTCTCGAGTCCAAAGTGCGCGTAGCACCCTGATGCGGGCCGAGAGGCTCTCCAATATCCGGGACACTCGGTGGATCCGGGGCCTGGCCAACTTCATTCATTCCCTGTAGCTGTTTCGATCTTCGAGGCCTCTAGGCCGTTCCTCCCCGGGGCCCTGGTCAGGTCCCTGTGCCCCCACGCCGGACCTGCAGCCTCGGGGTGCCTCCCCTCTCATGAGCAAATCTGCTTCAAGCCGTGCAGGGTGTCCTGGGAGTGGGAAAGACCCGCGGTGGAAACCCCGCAGCTGTCCCTCTGGGCAGTGGTCCTGGGTGCCCAGTACCGTTCTGGCCCCAGGACCCTGCAGCTTGGCGTGAGGCCCAGCTAAGGGAGAAGAGCAGCCGGCAAAGTCCAGGACCGACCCTGTGCACCTGGGAGGCAGAAATCAGCTGTCTCTGGCCGAGGGGAGCCCAAACGGCTGGAGGCTGGGCAGCCTCTGACCCGACCTTCGCTTCCAGCAGCTTCACCCCAATCTCACCTCAACACGGTTCTGAGCCCTCGGCCTGGCCAGCGTGTTTCCCACCCGTAGGGGTCGCCCTTGGGCAGAGGGGGACGGGCTCGCGCAGCCCCAGACCCAGGCCCGGTCTGAGCTCTGTGGCCAACTCGCTCGGCCAGCAGGGGCAGCAGCTCGGGCTCAGAGAAGTCACCTGGGTCCAGCACCACCAGGCCTTTGCAGAAGAGGTGATCTGTAAATTCTCTAGAGGAAATGCAGAAAACGCAGCCCTCCGCACCCCAAATGGGAAAGGAGAAAGTCAGGGAGGGTGTCCTGGGTCCAGGGGCCCAGGCTGAGGCAGGGTCAGGGTTGGGGGACCCAGGGGAACTCCCCAGCGTTGCCAGACCCTTAAGGCAGCAGACAGGCGACAAGTTCACAGAGCCACGAGGCAGACAGGAGAGTAAACGTTTTATGACAAAGCCGTTTTAAAACTTTCCGACTTCCGTTCCCTTGCCTGGCGCCCAGGGAAGAGAAGCCTGTGTTGGGAAGTACAGCCCCTCGCCCTTCCAGCGGGTGCTGAGCGGAAGTGCGCCCGCCCTCAGCTGCCCTGTCCCCTGGCTGCGCCCCCCCAACTCCCCCCCACTCTCCAGCCCCAAGTTCACCTCCCCCGGCCCCTGGCTTCTGCCCTCCCTCCTTGTGGGGGCTGGGCCCTGCTTCGCAGCCAGAAGGCTCTGTCCTCCCTCATCTGCCGGGGGTCCCCTGCCCGTGTGTCCCCTGCTCCACTCAGTGTCTCTTGGCGTCTGCTTTCCCAGAGCACACAAACTGACGCCCTCCCCACCCATCTTGTACTTTTCTCTCCCCACCCACTTCCTCCATGCTCAGTGTCATGGAGAAGTCAGCCGGGGACAAGGAGTGGCGTGCGGAGCCACCCAGGGGCCCGGTGACCGGGGACAAAGGGTGTGCAGGACAGCACAGAGCTGGCAGCCTCGAAGGCGCCTGAACCCACCAGGGCCTCTCTCTGAGGGCAGGCCTGCTCCATCCCCATGGCGACAGCCAGGCCCTGCTGGGGACCCAGAACGCAACTAAGGCCTGTGTCCTGACTGGGACTCGAACAAGCAACTCTCTGGTGTGTAGGATGGCGCTCAGCCCACTGAGCCACGCCAGCCAGGGCTGTTACTCCGTATTTTACTGTTCAACCCAGGTCACCTCATTCCCACTCTATACTCTGTTTCAAAGACTAATCCGAAGCCACTATCCCGATTTCACCATCCACGGTTCTGAAAGCAAGCAAGGAGCTGCCGGTTCAGGACGTAAATCCTTGGGGTGACTTCCTAGGATTTCCTACAGCGACTAGAAGGGCTTCCAACGTCAGGAAAGCCTGGAGTTGCAGACAGGAGTTGAGTGCTGAAGGGATGAGTGATCTGGGCCACGGAGACAGGATCTGACCCCTCGCCCCCCCCTTCTCCCCTGTGTGTGGCCTCGATTCCCACAGCCATGGGGGGGTGGTCTCCGACAGAGACCCACACCTAGGACCCTCCCGTGTTTGCCAAGCCGCCCCTGAGCTGAGATGTCCCACGTGAGTGGCCTGCGCACACGCCCACAGGTGAGTGAGGGGCAGCTGGGAGCCAGGCCACCCCCCGAGGCCCTGTCAGGCTCTCACCCTCCCTCCAGGAGCCCCTGCATCCAGCAGGGGAACCACCTGCTGTCCTGACCTGCCGAGGTCCGGCCGCAGCGGGTCAAGGGGTCCCACAGGTGAGGGTAGGCGTCGGTGCTGGGTAACAGACGACAATACTCCTCAAAGGACAGTGAAGCTCTGTTCCGTTTATTGCAAGTACAAGCAGGTTTTTATATTTTCATTTGAGGTAGTGATTAACATTTGCAGGTGTATAGCATGATCAGTTAAGCAGACAAAATCAATACAAAGGTAACCAGGAAAAGTACAAGAATTTCTATAGTTTCAATTACATTATACAAAAATTGTTTTGACTAGGAGAACCATTAATCAGACAATTTGAAATAAGTCTATGTACAGAGTTTGAATATCTTATTGTTTATTAAGGGTCTAAAATTTGGCATGGGGCAAAAGGTACGCTAGACCGAGCAGAGGTTAGGAAATTTATTATAAGGCCTTTGTGATGTCTAACTTAGCTATTTATCTTTCTGTCTAAAATGTTTCTTTATGTACTATGGACTCTGACTCCTTGGTAATTATATCTACATGCTTAGTTTGTAATAGTTAACCAGCTCCTTTTAAAATTTCTTTGCCTGTCCAATTGGTATATATTCTTATTCAAGGTAAAGGAGGGGCTGTTACTCCAACAACTTTTAGACATTCAGGGGCTATTTCATTAGAGGGGATTAACTTGGGGGAGCGCTCTGGGTAACTCTGGCTCCCTGCTACCTAGTGTTAACTTGTCCTGCATCTGCTTACCTGGGTCAGGGAAGGAAACATTCTTCCCCTTGGACTCACTGGACATCGTGGGCCTTTCCTCCTCTGGGCCCCCAGAGAGGGTATTATTTTGGGGAAAGGCCAAGGTGGCATAGTTCTCAGTCTGACCTAGTTGTTGATCAGCTCTGAGAATGGCCATCATTTCTAGGAGATTCCAAATTATCAGGAAAGTAAATGTCAGAACACCAAGAGTCAGCACGAACAGAATCAACACCGTATATCCACGTGTGCCATGTCCTCCAGGCCTGAATATGCTTCTTTGAAGCCATGTTCCCACACTCGGACTTTGTCAGACAGCGTGATTGGAACTGGAACTGGACGTGGCACTGACCGAGCTCAGGCCCAGGTGGGGCAGGAACCAGGGGCCAGCCAGCTGGACACTGACTGACAAGGGTCAAATTCAGTGCCCCTGTGAGTTGTCGGCAAAGAGCCAGCCTGGGGCAGGGGTGGGGGAGGCCTTCCGGATGGACGAGTGGGACAGACACTGAAGGTGGGACAAGGTGGAGAGGGGCAGAGACAGGTGAGCTGGGACGGGAGGCCTGGGCGGAGAGCAAACCTTTGCTGAGGGAGTGGACGGCTGTGTGAGTGAATGAACGGGTGAGGGAGTGAGTGTAGGGAAGGCGCACACCGCCTCCGTACCCGCACCTCCCGCCTTCAGAGAGACTCACCGTGCGCTTCCTCTCTGCCCCTTTGGACACATTTCAGTCTTTCAAAAGGTGGGTTTTGTAGGAACTGCTCATGTCCAGTGGTGCTGCCAGGGCCCCTCCCCGGAGGCCCCTGGGAGTTGTCTGGGGGCGCCAGCGTGGGGCAGGTGGCCCCTGGGTTTCTGCCCATCATGGGGACCTCCCGGCCGCTGGCCTGGGATGCACTCACCTGATTTAATGCTGACTCAGTAGTAGCACAGGGTGTGTGTGGTAGGTTTTCTGGGTTAGGAGGAGATTTTTCTTTTCTTAGGTTTTATTTTCAGAGAGAGGGAGAGGAAGGGAGAAAGACGGGGAGAGAGAAACATGAATGTGTGGTTGCCTCTCCCACGCCCCCTACTGGGGACCTGGCCTGCGACTAATGCACGTGACCCAACTGGGATTCAAACCAGCGACCAGTTGGTTCCCCGGACGGCGCTCCGTCTACCGAGCCACACCTGCCAGGGTGGAAGTTTGGGCTTCAATTATGTTTCTCAGCACAGCAATTTGCTTCTGGGTGTGAGCCCTCACAGAGGTCACCATCACGGACATGGTCAAGGCGCTAACTGCAGTCCTGGGGGTCCCGGACCTTTGGGCACCCTGTTGTCGCCTTTGTCGTCGCTGGGCCCGGGAAGGGGAGCCCTGCGGGCCCACTGCTTTGTCGCAACGGATCCCTGCTGTCCACTCCCTTCCCCAGTAGGTGGAGGTCCTTGGGTGACCGAGGTCTGGCTCACGGCGGGGGGGGGGGACTAGGCGTTTCAGCAGCCACCCAGCGCTCTCCGGGCCCGCCCCCCACTCTCGGAAGTGCTGGGCACCTACTCACTCAGGAAGGCAAGGCGACCTAGGAAGCGGGGCCTGGGGGGCCAGGCCCAGGACTGGAGGGTGGAGTTCTGTTTTCCAGGAATTGTCCTCCCTTCCTGGACCACTTATGTCCTCATTCCCGGGGTCTCTCCCTGCAGATGGCCAGGGAAGGGGGGCTTCTTGTCCCAGGTGCTCTTGTTTTAGGGGGGCCGCAGCCACCCTGCCCCTCTGACCCCAGCCCCATCCCCTGTTGTCTTCAGAGACAAAGGTGCCCCCCAGGGTCAGCACTGCTGCCGACAGGGCCCCGCCCCAGGGACAAACACAGGGTGCAGTTCTGGGAAGAAGAACCCCCGGGGGGCCACCAGGGTAGGACGCACAGGGTGCCAGCCCTCACTGCCCCGCTGGGGTAGCGTCCCCACCTTGCCCGTGCACAGCACACACACCCCGCACACGGCACACACACCACACACGCCGCACACACGCACCACTGTGCCCCCAGACCCTCTGTGCCCCTCCCTCCAAGTGGGACCTGCAGCAGGGCCCTGGCAGGGAGGGGGGCCGCCTCCTCATTGCACAGAATAGAGTGGGGTGCAGGGCTGAGGGACAGCTGTGCCCCACTATGTGGCAGGTCCTGGCAGGACAGACACTGAATCCAAGACGGACAGGAGGATGCACTTGGACTGAAGTCACCCGGCTTTCTGGAGGCTGCCGTTGTGCAGGTCTGTGGCCACCACCTCCCCAGTTTGGGCCGCCGCAGGGGTGGCACCCGAGGCCTCGCTCTGGCTGCACCCGGCTGCCTAGGTGTTTCCAGTTCGCACACACAGGTGCACCGAGCGAATGTCAGCTGTCCAGAGCAGGGGCATTGATGGGGCACTAGGGGGCCCAGGCCATGGGGGTGAAAGCCCCGGGCGGAGCAGCGTGGAGTCTGAAGGCTGGGGAGGCCTGGGTCGGCAGGAGGGGGACAGGTGGGGACATCCCAGGGTGAGGCAGTGGGACAGGGCTCGGGTGCTGGTGGGCAGTGGGAGCCACGGACCCGGTCCACGTGCGGCGGTGGGGGTGTCATTCCCTGTGTTCGACCTTGGCCCTGTGGCTATGGAAGAAGGTGGCCCTGTGAGGGAGCTGGGCGGGCGGATAGGGAAACTGGACTAGTTTTGAAACTTCTTTGAAAGTGAGAACTCATTCAAAGTGAAACACGTTTGAAAGTGGCCTGGGGTGGGCACGGCCCCGCCGAGCGGTGCCGCGGGAGCCCGGCTCTGCCGCGTCTGTGGGTCTTCAAGCCCTTGGGCCCGCAAGGCGCCCCTTCCCCCCAGTTCACCCCGAGGCCCCACCTCCCAGGGTCGTGGTGTCAGCCTCTCAAATGGGGCTCCTGCTGGGAGTGGGGGCCCGCGGGAAGGAGGGGCTTCCCTCCGGGATGCTGGGGCTGCCAGAGTCCCTGGCCCCAGAGGTGTCGCCCCGTGGGGCACGTCCCCCCGCCCAGGCCCTGTACTTGCTCACAGCTGCCCCAGGTCTGGGGAGGAGCGGCTCCCCGTGTGGGGCTGAGTCTCCCTTTCATTTCAGGTGGGAGAGGCCCCTGGTCCACGCTGGCCCCTCTGAGGGAGCCCGAGCTGGGACCGGGGTCACATCCGAGCTGCCAACTGAGGGGTGAGGGCAGCACCCCAGGCTTGGAGCTAGTCCCCTCTCCATGCCTCAGTTTCCCCACCCTGATGGTCTCTCTGGGTCCCTAGACCCACACCCAGGACCTCCCCGGGGCCAGGGGTCAGGGAAGGGTGGGGGCCTTCTCCCCCCTGGGGAGGGGGCTGCAGGGCAGGGAGCCAGCACGGGAGGGGGTGCCTCAGGGAAGGTGTGGGGGCCTCCCCGGGGCTGCGGAGGTGGCTCCTCCAGGCGCGGCCCCTCCTGACCCGTCCGCCGGCCCTCAGCGTTGGTGCCCGAGATGGGGGTGAAGCCGAGACCCCGTGGAAGTGGTTGTGGAAAGCCCCCCTGCCCTGGCGGGCTGGGCAGCAGCCAAACCGCAAGCCAGCAATGCCGAGTTTACTAGAGTTTATTATCTCTTGGCGGGGGGCACACTGGCACACTTGCCAGAGGAGCTGCGGGGGCAGCTGTCCCAGAGGCCCCCATCCAGCAGGGGGGTCCCTGCCTTGTGGGTCAAAGGTCAACTGATGGTGCCGGCAAACTAGACAGGCTTGTTGGCACAGCCGGGTCAGTGCGGGGGGTGGGTCCCCCTCTTTCTCTGGGCCCCTGGACTGGGAGGAGTGCAGCTCAGCCTGTTGGCCCCTGGCACTCCCAGGTCTGAGCGTGTGCGTGTGTGCGTGGGCCAGCACAGAAGTTGTGGCGCCTCCGTGCGTGCTGTGTGGACACAACCGCCCTGGCCCTTTTCTGTGCCTGAGGCAGGTCCTCACAGCAGGGACCAGAGGAGGGCTGGCCCCAGGCTGAGCAGGAGCCCCCCAGTGAGGGCCCAGAGGCTGCGCCCTGCTCGGGACACCCCATTACAGAGGTCCTTTTCACAGCAAGACACACTCTGCACTTCTAACTTGGGGACCAGCGCACCAATCCCCTCCACCGTGGTGTCCATCGGACCCAACCCTGGGCCTGCTTTAGACATCATCTGCATCAACTTGGACGCCGCCTCACAGGAAATGGCACAACCTCCTTGATTCACGCTGACCTTCCGTCCTGCGGGAAGGAAAAAAGTGCCTGGTGTGGCAGCATCTAGTCCTCTGTGTCCCTGTTGGGCCAGCCACGGTCACCAGCTGCCCTTGGTCATCCCTCCATCTGCTGGGAGACCCTCCCCTCCTCCAGGAGGCCTCTGCCCGCTGCTCTGTTTAGGGGGCGCGGAAGCAGGACCTGGTGTCTGAGACACTCACACCCCTCCCCGGAGGCCCCCTGAGCCACCCCCAGACTCTGGGTGCTGGGAACTCACCATCCTGCCAGGTGGCAATCAGGTTGGCCTTGAAGCAGACATTCTGTGCCTGTCCACAGGACATGACCTGGCACTGTGCAACCGTCTGGGCCGCAGCACAGAAGTAGCACTGTAGGCTCAGGGCTGGGTGGGTGGGGACACAGGCCAGGCTCAGATGACAGAAAAGCTGGCTTTAGACCCCCGCTGACCAGAACCACAAGCCAAACTGGAGCCTGGGCTCTGGGCAGCTGCCTCCAGGCCCCTGCCCAGGACCTGTGCTGCCCACCCTCCAGGGGGCCAGGAGCACAGACCCCTCAGGGCTCAGGAACGGGACTGCCCACCCACCCCCACTCCCAGGACAGGTCCCTTGGGCGCCGGCACTCACCCTGGTCTGGGCACAGCAGGACTGCCAGCAGGACCAGATGGAGGCCTCTCATGCTTCCTGGCTGCTGTGCTAGGAGGTCAGGGGGGGCCTGTGGGCCATCCCAGGTTCAGGTTCAGGCCTCCCCTCCCCAGCCTGGCCCTCCGTGGCTGACCCCCCCCCCTCACCTACCCCAGCCTCCTCTCACCTGCACTGGCTGTGGACTCGCTGCCCCCAGCGCCACAGCATCTGCACCCACCCCACCTCCCTGCTGGCCCTCATATACTCTCCACCCACTTCCTGCCCCGCCTCCCCCGCCCCCCCCCGCCCCCACCACTGCAAGCCTTTGTCCCACACCCACGGAAATCTGAGCTGGGCTTGTTTATTCCTAAAATGCGAGAACCCCATGGCCTACCTTGCCTGTCCTGCAACTTTAACCCCGTAGGTAAGGGCTGGACCAAAGCCAGTTTCATCCAGAAGAGTCCGGGCCAGGGGAGCAGGGGCCACCAGGGTGGAGTTGAGGGAGGAGTGACTGGCGGGTGCCTGTGGGGTGTCCAGGAACCATGGGTGGCCCTCTGCACTTCAGGGAATCCCAGAAGAAGCGGGTGGCCCTCCGCACAGTCTGTCATCCCAGCCCCCGTCTGGGTCCTCTGAGCTGTGTGGCGACCTGTCCGCCTTCCCTGCTCCCGCCCCAGCCCCCGTCCCCGGGTCCGCCCTGCGTTCCCAGGAGAGGCCTCCGCAGAAATCACGGAAGCAGAAAAGTCTTCCGTGCTAGCAGTGTTTGCCTGTGTGTTTCACTGCCGCCCGTGAAGTCATGCACTCCAAGGAACCCACTTTCAGTGGGCCTCGTGCTGGTCTCGGTGGAAACCACCGCATCCAGTCTCACACACCCACTCGCGTCACGGCAGGCGGCCAGACCGTCGTGAGTGGAGCAGCAGCAGTGGGCCCGGTGTGGACGGTCACCACGGCCCACCGCACGGGGTGTCCAGCAAAGGGCGAGGGCACGAGTCCTGCACGAGCACGTCCTGCAGCGCCAGCCCCCGCCGACGGCCGCAGGCCTCAGCCGGGTCTCAGCTCCAGGCCCAGGGAAGCAGCGAGTCAGGCGGAGCGACGGCATGGCTGCCTCCAGACCAGAGCCGCACCGGCAGAATGACAACGCTACCCACTCAGGACCAAGCAGCAGTAACGCCACACGCGAGAAAGGCGGGTGACGAACCCCAGGCCCAGTTTCTCAGGCTGTGGGTTCGGGGACAGGGGAGGGCAGGGCAGCTGACAGAGACCTACAAGGCAGAGGCTGTGGAGCCGGGTCAGCAGCAGGGCGGGGCAGGCCCTGGGTCCAGTGGGCCGAGCCTTGGGTGGTGCGGCCATCAGGAGATCGGCACCGGGCGGGGCAGCTCCTTGCAGTTGGGGCTCAGCCGCCTCGGTGGTGGTCTGGAGCCTGCCTCAGTTCTCCCTGGAAAGGGGCGACTCCTCCCTTCTGGGTCTCGTCACAAGTGTCTTCCACCCCTGGCAGCAAGTGGGGAATCTTCCCAGGAGCCCATGTGTGTGTGGCCCTGCTCTGCAGACGAGGCTGTTCTGGTCACATGTGCAGATATCTAGGGTGGGTGTATCCACACGCAAACGTGGGACCACCCGATATGCAGGCCACCACCTTGCCTGCGCCCCCTCTGTGCCTGCTGCTGGTCTGCGCTCCTCCCACTGGTCTGGATGAGTGTTCCTTCTTTAACTCCTGGTGGTTGGACTTCCACACGATTCGGTTTTCAGGCGGTTTTGGTTGTTTTGTGTTTTCAAATTAGTTGTTGTCCTTCTTTTGGTTTGGGAGGAAGGGAGGTGCTTCTACCTGCACCTCCATCTTGGCTGGAAGTCCAGTGGTCAGCGTTCTTGACATTGACTAGTTTATTTCATAACTTGCAGAATCAGTTCTTTCCTCCACTGGCAAGGACACGCAGGTTTTTATTCTTGGTGATGACTGCACTTCTGTAGTGTGCTCCTAAGTGAGCGGCTCACGACCTCCCGCCCTGGGCAGGGATGGGAGGCTGGAGAAGGGGCAGCCGAGGTGTCAGACTGGCACGGCCGGAGCCACCCAAGTCCACACATGTCTGTTTCTCCCCTTTTCCTTTTGGTTCTGAGTTTTACTGCCTGAGAGGGGACTGAGATCTTTTCTCCCCTTTAAACCATCGATTTCAGTCCTTTCTCAGTAGAATCCTTATGCTGTGCCAACATGAAAAGTTTGCACATGAAAGACCTCATCCTGCTTACTAGACCTTGACCTTTAGCAAAACAACTCCAGGTTGAGACCAGCCATTCCTTTCAAAACAGACACAGAGACACAGTCTAAAGCAAAGACAAAGTTCAAAGAAACAAGCAGTCTCAAACTTAAGTCCTCTAGGAGGAGGGACTGGAGCGCTGGCCTTAGATTCTATCATGTTTTACTCTCGCTTCCTTTTTGAGAGAGAGGGGAAAGGAGGTAGAAGGGGAGAAACCTCGACATGTGAGAGATACAGCAACAAGCTGCCTCTTCCTCGCCTCTAACGGGGGCCTGGCCCACAGCCCCGGCATGTGTCCTGGCTGGAATTGGAACCCGTGGCCGCTCAGTTGGCAGGCCAGCACTCAGTCCACTGGACCAGAGCTGCCAGGGAAAGCCTTGACACCCACTGGCACCGCAAATGACCCTGACCAGACCCAAATGGCACAGCCCAAGTGGCAGAGACAGAAGGTTCCCGGTGGATTCAAAAGATCACAGATCGAATCAAGCCTCAAAAAGGTAAGAAAGCAACCAAAGAGTAACTGAAACCAAGACAGGCAGAGGGGAGCTTCTGAAACGAAACTGACTTCCTCTGGCGGGAAATGGAAAGTGAAGCTGCAAGTCCTGGCCTGTGAGTCAGTGGGTTGAGCAACAGACTGTGAACTGAAAGGTCACCTGTCCCCGAGTCAGGGCACTCGCCTGGGCTGTGCACCATGTGCGGGGTGGGGTGGCGTGCAGCATGGGAAAGGCACCGATGGATGTTTCTCTCCCGCTCTGTCTCCTTCCCTCCCCCCTCTAATATTCCCGTGCAAATGTCTCTGAGCAGTAAGATTCCAAGTGAAAACACAACCCTTACGCTCAGAGTCCATCTCCACCCACTCCTCAAACTGGGGCCCATCCGCTCCCCAGATGCCTGTGTCCTCCGCCAGCACAGCGTTTCAAGGTGGCTCGTGCCTCGGGGGGAGCAGGGAGAGTCCCTGTTACATCCAATCCTTGCGAGCAAGAAGGGTCAGAGACTGTCGGGTAGTCAAAGATGGTTTATTGGCCAAAGTTTCAAAGTTTTACCTGCGCAGGGGCGAACTCTCGGCGTGTCTACGGAAACACGGGTGCCAAAATGGCTGCAGATGAGAGTCGCGCCAAACGCTTACAAGCTAGGGTTCTTATAGGAGCGGAGCAAGCAAGCAGTTTTGCAGAAGCGAGAGGTGGCGGTTAGCGATTGGCTCAGGGCTATTGGCCCGCAGAGCTCACGATCAGCTCATGCTCTGGTTGGTGATTGGTTCTGGGGCTCGTGGTCAAGTCATGCCCTGGGGTAAAATTTTCAAATCTTCTGCTGCCTAGCTGGGTGGGGTTTCCCGCCTAAGTCTAAAGCAAGCTTTTATTATGCACTCTTCTTCACTTTCTCACCCTTCAACATTCCCCCATCCACTTAGGCAGAGAGTCAAACCCTTGACTCACCTTCGTCAGACGGGAGTATGGTATAGGGCTGAGAGAGCACCATTAATTTTACTACTTCTACTCTTTCTTTGATGAAGGCTAGTATGGGAATCAATAAGGGAGCTCTCGGGACCCTCTCTGGGGGCTGCAAGGGGGAGGTGGAACTGCCCTCATATGAGTAGACCTGAGGGATGATATATGCACTTATACATAGTTCTGGGCGACCAGTGGGTACGAGACACTTAAATACTCCTTGAGTGCAAATAAACTATAAACCTCTTTATCTGAGTCTCTTACTATTACCCATTGGTGGGCGCTTCCGTCTACAAGCCTAACCCAGAGGGCAAAACACATCCCTAGGAGCGGGAGGATAGTCTCAGGGGATCTTTTGGATGTTGTGGAACTCGCCATCTTTGAGATCCCTCTTCTGGTGCTTGAGCCGCCTTGGTGTGGGACAGGTGGATCCAATATGGCTTCTCAGCCACTCGAACTGCAGTGGGAGTGCTTAGCAGTACCTGGAAGGGGCCAGTCCAACGAGGCTCCAAACTCCCCTTTCTGTTGTTGAGGATCCACACCCACTGTCCGGGCTCTAACGGCTCAAGCGCTGCGCCTCCTCCTTCTTGGTGCCGGGTCTGTTGAAGGGCGCGCACCTCACTCCGGATCTTCTGTAGCGCCTGCAAGGGCCTAAGGAAGTTGTGATTAGAGACTTCTATTTCCTCTTTGGTTAGGCGGGGAACTAGAGGTATAGGTTGACCAAATAGTATCTCAAAAGGGGCCCAAGTCTTAATATATGGGGTGCATCTCACACGGAAAAGGGCGAAAGGGAGTAGCTCTACCCAATTTCCGCCGGTCTCCTCCTTTAGCTTTATTTGAGTTTCTTTGAGGGTTCTATTCATCCTTTCTACCTGCCCCGAACTCTGGGGTCTATAAATGCAATGAAGCTTCCAAATGATCCCTAGCCTAGCTGCTAACTCTTGTGAAACCTTAGAAACAAATGCAGGTCCATTATCAGAACCTATGGCTAGGGGTATCCCATATCTAGGTATAATCTCTCTCACCAAAATCTTGCAGACTATGGATGCTGTCTCTCCCCTCGTGGGGAAAGCCTCGACCCACCCTGAGTAGGTGTCAACTAGGACCAGTAAGTACTTATAGCCCGACTTCCCTCTAGTTACTTCAGTAGAGTCTACTTCCCAGAGCTCTCCGGGGGCTGTCCCCCGATATCTCACGAAGCAGGGCAGCTTCTTGTTTCCCGCATTTACCTGGGCGCATGCCCTACACCGTGAGGTGATCGAGTGAACTACCTCTCTGAGGTGCGGCCCCAGGTAGTACTTTCTGATTAGCTGCTCCAACTTGTTCTGACCTAAGTGGGTACTGATATGGATGTCTTGCACTATTTGCCTCATTACTCCTTGGGGTAAGTACATCCTAGCGTCTGGGAGCACTATCCATCCCTGCTTATCCTTTCTCCCACCTAATTTAGTCCCCTCTTGCTCTTCTTCGGTAGAGTACTTAGGATCTGGGGGCAACTCTGGCTGGGGTACTAGGGAGAGCAGATTGTCACCATGACCTGCTGCAGTCTTCTTGGCAGCAATGTCAGCTAAGTT